CATGGGTACAGAGAAGAGCTGGCAACACAGGGAATCCAGGACCGATTAACCCCTCAGGACCAATAATGGGAGAAATAATACCAGGAGGGTAAGGGTAAGGTGGTGGGGTAGAAAGGGAAAGCAATCATAATGATCTACATATAACCCCCTCCCTAGGGGATGGACAACCGAAAAGTGGGTGAAGGGAGACATAGGTCAGTGTAAGACATGAAAAAACAATGATTTATAAATTATCAGGGTTTTGTGAAGGAGGGAAGGGAGGGGAGGGAGGGGGAAAATGAGCTGATTCCAAGGGCTCAAGTAGAAAGAAAATGTTTTGAGAATGCTGATGGCAACAAATGTAAAAATGTGCTCAACACAATGGATGCATGTATGTATTGTGATAAGAACTGTATGATTCACCAATAAAATGATTTAAAGAAAATGCATGCTACAACATGGGTGAAACTTGAAGACCTCATGTTCAGTGAAATAAGCCATTGTGAAGGACTAATCTAGTGCTCTCACTTCAATGAAATGAGGAGACCAGGCAAGTGGATGGAGACCCAAGTGTTATGATTAGTGGTTACCAGGGAGAGGAGGGACGGGCAAGGGGGGCTCATTGTTGAGGACACACTGAGTTTGTCTTGAGTGTGATGAGACAGTTTCCAAAAATTACGTGTGGTGGTTGCACAAACATGATGACTGTCGTTGATATCACTAAAATGTACACCTGAAAGATGTGGTGTTGGCAAGTAGTATGGTACCTGGATTTTTACAACCATAAAGGGTATCTTTAAGGAAAATAATTCCATAAAATGTTAGAATGAAAATCATATTTTTGAAAGGCGTGACTCTAAAGTAGAAACCAGATGAGTGGATATTTTATTAAATTTTAATTAAAAAATTTTTAATTCAACACTTCAGTGTGATTGAAGATATAACAGCAACGTCAGTGATGGCTGCACAGCATGACTGGTGGCTCTTTGATGTCACTGAATGGCACATGGGAAAGACATTGAACCGGCCAATCTTGTGTTATCTGTGTCTTTACAGCAATGAGATTTGAAACAATAAGGAAAGCCTTTTAAACCTGGACCAGAATGTGTAATCATATGATAAGTTTATATGATCATTTTATAGAGAACTCTTATAAATAGAAAGGGCCATCATCATAATATAATGTTTTAAGTTTATGAAAAAAAGTTCACAGAAGACACATGACTCCTTCGTGATTATTTTTTTAAAATACCAGTAGTGTCATCAGCAATCAGGTAGATGCATATGGAAGCAAAGAAGTGATCTATGTGTTTTGCAAATTATACTATCAGAGATTACACAGCATCATATCTAGTCCTGGCTGGAGTCTAGGGAAATTGGCATACCGAGTGAGACTCTTATTGGTTCAGTTAGTTTCTGGGGAAGATTTTGGCAATATGCATTAGAAATCTTAAAAGTGTTTACAGCTTCTGACTCAGTAATTCCACTTAAAGTATTTAGAAAATACTTTAGAAATGTAGACAGAAAATTTTGTACACAATATTAATTATGGTATTAAAAACTACAAATATTCAATGTCACAGGAAGTTACTCATAGTAAAATTGTAAGCAGAAAACAATGATGCCAATTTTAACAAATAAAAAATGTATTCACAAATAGGCATTAGAAGAAAGTGTGTCTAATTATCAATAGTGGGTATTGGGACTTTAGGTGATTTTATTCTTATCTATAAACATTTCTGTGTTCTCTGAAATTTCTACAATATTCATGTATTTTCTCTACAATTAAAAGAGTAAAAAGATCCAACTTTTTATTTTAAAAGTTCTTTAAGAGGTCAGCAGGTCAAAACCACCAACCACTATTTGGGGGAAAGATGAGGTTTTCTATTCCTGCATAGCGTGACTGTCTCAGAAACTTTCAGGAGTGGTTCTACCCTGCTCTATAGGGTTGCCATGAGTCAGAATGACTCAGTGGCAGTGAGTTTGGTTTGGGGCTAAAACCAAACCATTGAACTAGGCTGCTAACCACAGGGTAAACAGTTTAAAACTATCAACTGCTCCATGGCAGAAAAATGAGGCTTTCCACTTCTGTGAAGAGTTACAGCCTTGGAAACCCATAGCGGGCAGTTCTACCCTGTCCTAAAGGGTTACTATGAGTTCAAATGGACAGGATGGCAGTGACTGAATGGCAGCCTGTCTCTGTAGCTAAGAAAAAAGCCCTTTATAACATGTTCTCACATTTTGTCTTAGGCACTCTTGCCTTCCTGGGAAACTTCCTCCCAGTAGGGTGGGTCCTAAACCTAATCTCTTCTAAGTGATGTCTTTAAGACTCTTTCTCCCAAGGAGCTCTTGGTTTCTAACTGCTGACCTTGCTATAGCAACTCAACGAGCAACCACTATGCCAACAGTCATCACATATGCTGTTGACAGAAGATATTTATCATGAATAAACTGTTGCTCTTGTAAAATCCTGTCGTGCAATCTCCAGCATAATTTCTATTGCCAAGGCTATATTTTCTAACTGCCAAGGCTTCCTCTTTGTTTTCAGTTTTTGCCTTCCAAAGATATGTTATAGTTCTCTGGGTGTTGCAAATGGTTTACAGTGAACTAATAATCTAAAGGTTGGCTGCTCAAATCCACTCACTGGTACCACAAAGAAAGGTCTAGGGATGTGCGTCCACAAAAATTACAACCAAGAAAACATTTTGGAGCAAATAAATACTATAGAACAATTTTACCCTGTAACATACAGGGATGCCATGAGGTAGAATGGACTCAATGCCAATGGTTTGAGTGTGTGTTGGTTTAAGTGTAATTATTATGTTAGTTAAATTTCATTGATTGATAGGAAGAAACTTGGCAGAGTGAGCTAGTATGTTTAGGGCATGGTGTGGGTAGGGAGAAAGTTCTGAATAAACCCTAACTTCCAGGGTTTGGAGGAACCCTGGTGGGATAGTGTTTATGCATTGGGCTACTATCCACAAGGTCAGCAGTTTGGAGCCATCAGCTGCTCTGCAGGAAAAAGACAGGACTTTCTGATCATAAGAGTTGCAGTCTCAATTCTGCGGCAGCTGCGTTTACCATGACCCTGCTCCTCCTCTGCCCACAAACTCTACTGGCAGCGAAGTGCCCCCAGACACTGTTGGCATCGGATGCAGGAACCTGTGTGTAAGAACTCAGACTTGCTGGAGTCACTCAAGAAAAGGTTGAGCAACTGCTATTCCAGAACAGAAACGAAACTCATGCATCAGAAAAGGTGACTCCGACATACAGAAAGAATATGGCTGCGCAAATATCAGAATCCGATCAGATAAAACAGTTTAAGGAATTTCTCAGAACCTACAATAAACTTACAGAAATCTGCTTTTTAGACTGTGTTAAAGACTTCACAACAAGAGAAGTGAAACCTGAAGAGACTACGTGTTCAAAGCACTACTTACAGAACTATTTAAAAATGGCACTAAGAATACCCATGAGATTTCAGGAATATCATATTCAGCAGAATGAAGCTAAAGCAGGACTCCTTGGCCAACCACACTAGGGATGGATGGACTGGGGATGTGATTCTGCCCTGGAATGAGGATTCACTTGACAGAAAGCCTGAGACCAAAAGTCACTGTGCCCCACTGTCTGGCAAACGGGAACCACTGGAGAACCAAGTGCTGTGGACTAGGAATCATCAAATAGAAGGTCTTGTGCAATGGAAATATTAAGATGCAACACTTGTTGAGGCCTTAAGATTTGCAGCTTGGTCAATTGATTAGAAAAATAAACCATTGTTTCTTCAAAAAAAGAAAAAGAAGTTGCAGTCTCTGAAACTCCCAGAAGCCATTCCAGGGTCGCTATGAGTCCGCATCAAGCTGATAGCAGGGAGTTTGTTTCTTTCAGGGTTTGGCTAAAGTTACACATGCAACTACATTCTGGTTGGCGAGGCCTATAGGAAAATAATTATAGGAAAGTACATGGAAATTCTTTCAAACTGAGTGACATGACACGAATGAAGTCATTATTTGGATATCACCCCTCTATCATTTTTACTTTCTTGAAATGGATGGGAAGCGTTGCCATCTGCCTGCTGGAGACAAAGTCATTGTGAGATTTTTTTTAATTGATCAATTCTCTATTACATAAGTTCAATAAGATCCAACTCCACAAGGCATAATTCAGAGTAGTCTCAGAGGTAATAGTTACAGTAGCTTTGCACTATAAATCTTGGAGTATCGACAGGGAGTGTTTATATAGATATTTTAAAATACCTCTACTTGAGCAGAAAAGCAGGAGTGAGTAAATAACAAATTACACTCAACAATATTTTAACAAATTGATTTCCACTAAAATGAAGATGAAACAAGATTCATATCTTGACTGAATGTTAATTCTTATGCTCTTTAGCCAGGACTAAATTAATCTTTGGGGTGAAATTCATAAGTCAACAAAATGAAAACTGTATGCATCAAGGAGAAGATCTAGAGATGCATTCAATGACATGAAATTGTTGCTGAAGTTTCACTTGATCGTCATTTATTTGTTTTTGAGGACCAAATGCATTATCAGACAATTGCTA